AATGCAGCACAGCACCACAATTACCATAGATCATGACATAATTAGATTTGTATTTGGCAATAATGGAACACCTTCAGAAGACAAATTTATATTACATGAAAAAGATGACTTCTCAAGATTGTGCTTGCCACCATTTTGGTATTATTACTTGGATGAGTTAGGTCAGGGTGTTCAAGTGGATTTTCCAGTGAAATTAAAGACACAGTTAGCATTCAAGTCAAAGCGATATTTTGTTAAGGAATGTGGAACTCTTGAGAAGGGACCATTCATTCCCCATGAAAATGTTTGTTTGGTTATTAATAGAAAGGCTTACTCAGCACAGGGATTAATTTAACAAAAGGAAGTCCATTTCCTGTATTTTGTCAACAGAGAAAATTCTTCATTATTAATAAGTCACATGTACTACTGAAGGTGGCTAAAACAGTCACTCACTGTTCATTAAAATGTCAATAAGCTGGCTCTTCTTTAGTTTTGACAACCCTTTCACTTGCAAATTTTGTGAATTGATTTCTTGGACAAGTTGTTTGACTGTCATATTTTCATACTTTGTAGTTCCCACTTCTGTAGCATTGACAGCAGACTCTTCACCTTGAGATCCACATGCACCACCACTGGAACGCATGCTTTTTCGTGACTCAACAATTCCAGTATCCCAGTATTAGTTTTTTCTTTTTTCATAATTTCGTTTCTCCCTTTCACAGTGACCAAGTGCCTGCTGTCTTGCTTCTAAGTGTAGAAGATCCCTAGCTGCATCCCATTTGTTTGACTTCTGGAAAAAAAAAAACATTTTGCATCATCGTTGTTTTTTTCCACACCCTGTCCAGTGAATTGCTTGAATGAGTTGTGATCTCTAATGAAAATTGGCACATGGTATGAGAGTGCATGCATTTAGGGGGTTACACATGCTTTGTTGTACCCAACTCTGCTTCCTCCAAAGGAGCAAAAGAGCTTGACAAATTCCTTTGATTTTTGCAAGACATCAAGGGGCAGGTTTTCATTTTCCTTTCTGTCTGAGTTTATCAGGTGATAAAGGGATTCAAAGTCCCTCCAAATCTTTATCACTGTTTCCTTTGTCTCAGGGAAAAGGATATCCCTTGATTCCAGCTGGGTTGGAAGCAGATGGAGAAGTTTCTTCTTGTCTTAACCAATTAAGCTGGTCCAGTCATAGGTGCCACTTTTGTGGAAATCTTTGATTTCCTGTAGGGTCCTCTTCATGTCTCCAGTGTTATAAAAGTCAAGATCTTTGGTCATGTCCCATCGTTGCAGTTTGTGTATCTTGCACCAAATGCAAGCATAATCACAAGTAGCCCCTCTGAGGCCCATGGTCATAAGCAAAAATTTGTAATCCTCCCCTAAACACATCTCTATACTGACTTTTCTGTCAACATCTATTTTACCATTTTTGATGACACTGTTTATCTCTTTGATGACATTTCCCATCGAGGATTTCAAAGTATCACTTCTCTGGTCCATTGACTATACATAATGTTCTGTTACCTTTGGAAGACAACACCTTCTCCCCAGTTTGCAATAATGAAAAGGACAAAAGCATGAAATTAGTAGTTCTGGACATCTTGGCTCCATCCCCACTAATTTTGACCTTCATAGGCTCTTCCATTGGGTAGTTAGGGTTTGATTTGAGAGTCTCCTATGTGTTCTTTGAGTGTATCCAAAAATGATATCTGTGCTCCTGGATATATGCCAGGGGCTTTTTCAATGTGGCAGAGTTTGTTAAGACCAGATCTCTTCTGTTTGATTAAATAAGACCTGGGCAAATCCTTGTACAGGATAGTGAGTTCATGGTACAGTTCATCACTCACACAGAATTTATCTAATAAAAACAAAAGCTGCTCCAAATTTTCATCATCTTGTTGAGTGATATTTTCTTCTGCATATTCAAATGTACATGTCTTGCCAGAATCAGTCTCTTTGACTTTAAGTCCAGTCAATGTTAGTCCGTGACTTTCAAGAAACCACAATGCTACATCAGCTCTGCCTTTCAATTCTTTTATTCTTCTTGCCCTTTGCCTTTCACCGAGCTTGTCAATTGTCTTGCCATAATTAGGCAAAGTGGCATCACTTAAGTCAGATATTTTCTGAATGTACAAAGAGAGTTCTCTGTTGAGGCTATCTATCTGTGCATCCTTCCTTTCTGTAGCCTCAGCTATTTCCTTTAATAAATCCTCTTTCTCTTTCTGTAGATCTCCACACTTTTTACACCACTGCAATAGCTAGATTAGCTTGGCGTAAATCATCTTCAATCTTTCCAACAGATACTAACTCGCTAACTAAAATGGTCATTGTAAACACATTGTCATTGAGTTCTTGTTTTTTTCTACTACCAGTTGCTTTCCTGTATTTGGAAATAACTGAGCTTGCTTCTCATCTTAGCCTTCCCTGGATACAAAATCCTGTCTCCCAACTTATTCGGAACCATTTGTTCGGAATCCAACTATTCAACAGGTCAAAGTAATCACAAGAATTACCCTGATCATCGTTTTTGTTAACAATGCTGTGCCATAGCTGCAACAAAGGGTAGGGGATCTCCAAAGCTAATGCTATTGCAAACCGATCAACATTTTGCTGCCTTATGTATGACAGCGGAGGGTTTACAACATTCAATTTGTGATAGAATTTCCGGTTTTCAAGCTCACTCAGGTAAGAAGACATTTTTTTGAAGGGGAACTGTGAAAATATATAATTTTTACAGCACAAACAAAACGTGTTTTAAATGAGGAGCCTACGATACAGCTGTCCAGTGATATCCCCCAAAAGGCCAGGTTATCAGCAAAAACATGGCAAAACAAATCAATGAAAATGGAGCAGTAAACATTTCTTTCAGTGACGAGTTGCAATCGAAATGTTTGTTATTTAGGCCATTTTGGAAAGAGACGGTAATCTTGAATTTCTGCTTTTTTCAAGTAAATTTGGCAGAATGGTTGAAAGCTTTCATAGGCGGATTTTTGCAGCCTTTTAAAGTGTAAACATCCAGCAATGTTTTGGGAGGTCGGCACCACAGAACCGATGTATACAAAGTTTGCAGGAGGGGAAAGAAGGTATGCTATTCAGCCCTTTTGTGAGAAAATTATAAACGTGAAGGAGCTGTATTATGGCCTGTACAAACGCAAAGATGGCAGAGCATGCGTTGCTTTGATATATGTCAAAATAACTGTCGTAAATACTGCATTAACCCTTTCACTCCTGAACCGGCCAAAACCAGCCGGCCGGAAACACGCTTCTATTCCTGAACCAGCCAAAACCGGCCCAAAAAAACGTCATTGTTTACGGCTTCTCTCCCCTCCCCTAATAAAGAATATATGCTCACCAAATATTTTTCTATTGTTATTGAGATATTGACCAATCATATTGCAGTTACTGCGCATAACAAAGGCCTCCCTAGGAAGAGATAGAGGGATGCAAATTTTGTCTTCCATGACGAACAAAGCGCGCAAACATGGCGACAGTGAAAAACAATTTCTGTTAAAGAAATGTGAGAACATTGTTGTTCATGTGCGAAAACCACATGGTTTATTATCAACTTGGAGTTGATAAAGCAAAGACACTTNTAATTTGCAATCTGGCCTAGCATGAGTTCGAGCATGTTTACCTTTTTGGTAGCAGTTCGTCCTCGAGCAGCTGGAACCGACTCCCCATCATCAGAGTAACCGCGTAACGGGCTCGCCCTAGTCTTTTTCAGCCACGACGACCCTTCGCCCAAAAATGGCGCGAAATTGGCGTCCAGAGACAAGGTGTAGTGATGATTTTGTTTCCAACTCTCGAAGGAGGTTAAAGTTTCGTTCTTTGAGAGGCACCACTGCTTAGGGGCTCTGTTAGAAGACATCGCAGTTTACGGAACAAGATGATATTGACAACCGACTCTTGGCTGCTCGAGAATCCCGACGAATCTGTCGATAAAGTGCGTTGGATCTGACGAGCACGTGACGATTCGAATCTTTACCGCTGCCACCACGCCAGTAGTCTAAATGGACACACACTAGGCCCCGATGAACTGTAAGCTTTATCTTTAATGTAAGCGAAATCTCCCTGTAACGAGAACTAGATACAACCAAGATGGCGGACGAATGAAGACTGATCGCGCGGGCTTTTATACNACATACTTGAGGTTAGAAACTTTGGTATCTTGTCAAGATACACATTGTATAAGGATGAATTTTCCAATAAATGAGTATAGCTGTCATTTATAATTCCCAACATCTATCAAATTAATGACTTATCAAATCAACAATAAAAAATAATTTCCTCTCACCTTTTAGAACAGCACCTCTATTTGGCTACTACCTACATTTTCAACCACTTTCCCCACCCCACAAACAACAAAGCATTTTCAGCAATTTCCCAGTGTGGGTCAAACAACTCCGTAAGCCTAATGATTGGGCCATTTTTCTAAAACACCACTTGGTGTAGTAATTATTACAAATCGACCAAATCATCCAGCGAGGGCCTACTCTGGACACCCCTACCCTCCAAAGATAAAAAAAATTCCAGACCTGTTGACTGTTCAATTCAGTTCCCACCGTTTTATCGACCTTCGACAGCACTCACTTTCATAATGAAATTCCTAGTTGTAATTGCTAATTAGTTACTTAAATTGAAATTTAGTTGTTACTTCTATTCGTAACGGTCACTTCTGAAGATGTATGTTGAAACATACGAAACGTCAAGTAAATGAACTTTGTTTTTTAACATGCGTTTTATTGTCATGTTTATCACCGCAGTTTGCGTGTTATTTCTTATCAAGCTACGATGGCCAAAGAAAAAGAGTATTTACGACACTATTTTTATAACTCGCGCCCACTATTAGAACTCAGTCTGCGCGCGCCATAAAGCTGTCTCCTTTCGATCACGTGACTCTCGTAGCCAACTTCGCACACGCAAGAATTATTTAGAATGGGTTTCTTTGCTAGCTACAAGCGTTTGTCACGGAAAGCAAGGATAGTTTTAGGGCTTGTTGGAGTTGTCATTGGTCTTGCAGGTCCATACATCGTGCCACTATTGGCAGCAGCCGATAAAGCAGAAGAAAAACTACGTTTAAACGAAGAGACGGCTGTGCGGGAAACAGCTCCTTCTTGATCTGACATTAGCTTATTTTCATTCAAGAAGACATTACTTTTTTTTAATGAGAGAGTTGAAAAGCAAACGTGTTCTCCGTTGGATAAGATGAAGAGGAAGGAGAGAGAAACAACAGAAAAGAAAAACAATGGTCCTACATCTGCTTTGATGGTCAAATATTTTGTGGCTATTCATCGTGATTTATAATTTCTGGTCAAGTCAGCCCTCGCAGCTAAGTTTGCAGCTGACGTTTAAGCTTCTGTATGTGCAGACCGAGCTGTGTATGACAGCCAGTATGGTAATCAGAGGACAAATGCCAAAAAAGTATGCTTGGATTCCTAACCAATCCATGCTTTCAACTCAGTTTTTTACTCATTTTGCAGTCTTGAGTTTTGAAATAGTTTCTGACTAGAAATTATCTTTTATGAAGCTGACTCACTCAGCCTTGCAAGACTACATACTGAGGCTAATTTCACTTGCCTACCGGGCCACTGAGCTTGTATTTTCACTTGCCCAAAAGCAAAATTTACCTGCCCCAGGCAATCGGACATGAGTGTTTTCCTGCCCTTTGCAAGATTCTGTTACTAATTCTGACCAATAGGACTAGACTTCTTCAAAAGGAGTATGAATGTGGATAGTCTCGATACAGCCAAGTAAGGCTCTCATCACTACTGGTTAGTTTGGTGTTTTGTGCAGCCTTATCCACATAAGAAGTGTGATTAGTGTTTAGTGGCTGTGTGATCGCATTGTTTAAACTTGAGACTTAAGAATGGGACAGGCGGTTTTATTGTTCCATTTTATTAGTATGAGAGCAAAATTGTCATACTAGTTGTGTTGACAGCTAGGATATGAATCACTAGAAACTGACTCATCTTGACTGGTAGGCAATTCAAGTGATGTGAGTACCCTGTCAGTCATTAAAATGAAGCACGTAATAATATATCAAAGCTATTAGTTGGTTAAAATACAGGCTGGCGTCATGAACTTTCTTGAAATGAAGTAACATTCTGAAGGGGTGATTATATGGTAAATTCCAGCCTGAGGTGAGAGTGCTGGAATTTTGTTATAATTACTTATAGTTCACCACTAAATTTTCTGCGATTCTTATTGGTTTAAATTGATCACGTGATGTGATAGTGTTCATCTGTGGAGAGACACTATCAGCCCATAGTGCCCGTCCAAGGAAAATACCCGGATGGATAGTACTCAGCCATGAAAATATTTCTGTAAACAAGTGGGCTTATAGAAAATAAACAATTTAATTTGTATTAACAGGGTTTTTGTTTGTTTTCTTTTTCAAATTTCACATCTGGCTTTCACGAATTTCATCTAGNGGAAATTTGATGTTCTTAAAACTAGCATATTTGCCCTCGAAGCTTTGCTTCTCGGGCAAATATTTGTTTTGAGAACATCAAATTTCTGTGGGGCAACTATCGGCCGATAGTTCCGCGACAGGAACACTCTATTGTTTAAATAAAAAACCCAGGTGGGATATAAGCTTGGACCAAATATGAAAATTATTGATGCCATGTTTCTTTGCATATTTGCTAAGGCTAAAAATCCAACTTAGGTAGATAAACTAGGTAGGGGTTGGGGAGCAGTATGAATGTAATCAAAAGAGCTTATCTCAAAAAGCTTTTCACGCAGGTTAGTGATTGCATGACAAATTTCAGCCTGGTTTGGGGGAATGGGATAATTACATGAAGAAGGTTTCAGTCCATGGTGAAAGTCACTGTTTTTGTTAATAACAATGTAACACAAACTTTGGTGCAATCTAGAGGGCATCTTCCAAGAATAAGCAAACAGTTGTGGATCACAAAAAATTAAGACGGAATCCACCAGAAGTTAAAGTAACAAGTGGACAAACACTTTGTACCAAGATTATTTACATCGCATTGCAAACTTCTGTACGACTGTTTTTTTTTCTTTGAATGACTGTTTGGAGTTGTCAGAAATCATTTCTTTTCAGTTTTGAGAAGATATTTTTAAAGAAATCATTTCTAACAACACCAAACGTCGAAAACAAATGTTGAACTTGGTATGAAACACTTGAATGTACTGGTGAAATGAAACTGATGATGAAATTTTCCTGTCAATTTCTGCACAATTCCTCTGAACTTTGAAATTTATTTTCTCCTGTTTCCATGGGAAGTTGTTTTGGGTGTTATTTCAGGCAAAGCCTGTAAAATACTTAAAATTATTCTGGTACCTGATTTTTGTCCACTAAAAACTAAAATTGCCTGATTTTCTGTCAGGTTTTGTCTTAACATGTAAACAGTAGCCTCCATTTGGTGCAAAAATATGCCCGGATATATATTTTGTCTGCAATACTAGCTGTTCTGAAGCAAACTGTGAGCTTGAAGTAACAGACAATATCCAAGCATGAAGACATGATAGATCATCATAGTTATACACACAACTTAAGCAGTTGTTGAAATTAAAGCCTGAAAAAAAAATTCAGGCTTTTTTCAGGCTTTAAACAAAATTAATTTTTTCAGGCTTTAATTTCACAACTGCCTAAGTTGTGTGTGTAACTGTGATGATCAATCACGTCTTCATATCGTTCTCTGCAGTTCAAATATATGATCTTTCATATATTCATTTGCATTCTTCATCATCTACAGGTATTTATGAAGTAACAATGTGACCAGCTCCCAGTTGGCTTGATAGCTCAGTTGGTAGAGCACTGCACCGGTATTGCAGAGGTCGGGTTTGAATCCTGTTCAGGCCTGAATTTTTCTCAAGCTTTAATTTCACAACTGCTTAAGTTGTGTGTATAACTGTGATGATCATGTCTTCATATCTTTCTCCGCAGTTCAAATGTATGATCTTTCATATATTCATTTGCAATATCCAGGCATATTTAAAGTCAAATGGAGGCTGTTGTGTTTTAATAGTATCCTTCAAATATTTTTTGCAACATGAAAGAGTTGCCAGGAGAGTAGTAAAAAAGAGACTGGGAATAAAAGGGGAGGAGTAAAGGGCACCCCCCTCCCCCATTTTTACCCTCATTATTTCTTGTGTTTCCCCTGAATCAGCTGAATGCTTGCAGGAAGAGGCTGATTACACATTGTTGGTTGATTTTTTATTTCAGTAATATTGACCTGAGATGCATGCAGTTGTTAAATTTGGACTGAACATGGTGATAGGGAGAAATATTTGTGATTGTGTTTGTCGAAAAATGTCTCTGCACCCTCACCACAGAAGATATTTTGGTTTGAACCTCCAACTGCTCAAACCCCTTCCAGTCTAGCTTTGTACTTTCCTTTAAAATGTTTGGCTTTTGTAAACCTCCACCCCCCAAGAATTTCCAATGGATATGGATGTTTCCTTGACCTGCACATTCAAGATGCTTGGTGCTATCCATTGAAGCAAAACCAGATGGGTCAGTTTGAAAGCAAATGGAATAGAATTTTCTTATAAGGAAATAAAATAGAATATTCATATATTTTCATATCAGTTTGCTCTATGGCACAGTTTCCGGTCTCTCATCAAGAAAAAAAGAAAAGAAACCAAATTGTAAATGGTACCAGCAACTCCAGGAGCCCATGACCCATGGGTTCCCGCAACATCTCATTTGATTGTTTTGTTAAATTTGAAGAAAACTCTTACCATTCTTAACCGGTTCCAACAAATAGTAAGCAACCAACCAACAGTCAGTTTTTGGACCTCACTGACCTGGACACCAGTTTTCTCAGTTTGAAAAGAGTTCACCTCAACCTGAAATCAAAGATATGTGTCAATCTTTGCAGTGGTTTGCTTGATTTTCAA